AATATCAAGTTTAAAGGTATTGCATTTTTTTAATTTTTTTTTTTCTGTCTGCTTTTTAAAATTGTTTTGTGGTCAGTATAGAAAATACTGTGTCTGTAAGTCATTCTTTGTTAGGTTTGGAATTGATACAGAAGAAAAACCTTTCTGCTTATGCAACATTTATTTTGGTGACTTCAGGGCAGATTTGCATTTGTAAGTGCTCAGGTCACATGACAAGATACGGGATTGGGTTACTTTTTCTACTTCTGAGTTAACAAGATTTTTTTATTATTTTATTTTTTCATAGAACTGTTCAGCCACAAAATCAGGTAGTCCATGTCCCATGATGCTAAATTTCAGGGCTGGTTGTATGCTTGCAAGTAGTATTAGGGGTTAAGATCTGTTTGGTAATAGACTCACTTGTTTTTTCTCAAATAAGCTTAATAGCTTACCTTAAAGCCCTAGTAATGGCTCAGAATAATTTGTGGCACATTTGGAGTTGCAGCTGTTGATTTTTATTCTTGACCCAATACCTGATCTTGGGTATTCTTGTTACTTTCCTTCTCTCTTGTTTTTCCTTCACCTGTAAAAAGTGACTAATGTGTTGCTAACCTTCTGAGGGAGTGTTTTTGCACAATGCTTTTCTTTTTGAGGAAAGGAGCACTGTATCATTTCTTAACAATATGTGATCCCTATAAACAGGACTAAATCCAGACATGAGCTTTTTGATAGTTTCGTGGTTTTTGAAATATGAATCAGTGATCTAGATTTTACTTCACCTCATGTTTAAAAATTATCATCTACGCTGTTAAATAATTTTTACTGCCCGTTGTTATAGAGAGGAAATGCATGTGGCTTTTCAGTTCCTTAGATCAGCTTGCATAGGTAAAGCAAAAAAGATTCCTGCTTCACTTAGGTTTGAAATAATTGAAACAGCAGTATGATTCTGTGTGTGTTAGGGGTAGCCAAAATACAGGTTGCATTTAAATAGCTCTGGATACACTTCTTAACGAATGTTGTTAGAAAGTTTGAAGGTGGTTTGCTCAGTATAGATTCCCCCCCCCTCAAATGTCTTGTATGTGGTGAAGTTGCCTACAGGAATCTCCAGGGAAAGATATTGATTAACTTACTGACACCACCTAATTTCTTCAAATATGAAATAAAAATCCAATGAGTTTTAGTATTTCGTATAAATGTCTGTGGTGGACTTCATAAAACTAAGATACATGTTGAGGTATATCAATTATCGATAGCTAAATCTGAGCAGCTCCAGTGAATGGAGTTGCAATGGCTAGAAGACAGTAAGCATGGGATCTCTTGTGGCCATCCTAGTCTCATCTAGAACTAGAACCTCAAAAAGACTGTTTGATACATTCAAATGATAAATATTTTTTTTTTAAAACATTGTAGCTGTTCATGAATGTCTTTGACTTTCTTACGCTTTTATAATCTGCTGCTTAAAAACATTAAATACCTTTCCTTAGCCTATTGAGCCATACAAGGAGTAGAATACTCCTACATTTGAAGTTATAAGGTAAATTTTAATAATCATGCTTGACTTCAGGTGTTTAAATCAGGTAAATTGTAGATTAATTGTCTGTAAAAGTTTGGGTTTGGCATTCCCCCCCCCCCTTCACTTGTTTCATGTAAAATTTTTGTTTCTTAGCACGTTCCACCTTCCCTGTTCACGGAACCTAACGAGATCTCTCAGTATCTACCCATAAAGGAGACAATCTGTGAAAAACTAGAATTCCCAGAGAAGCTGGAGCCTAAACCAGAAGCATCACTGGAAACCATGTGTGTTAAGTCTAAATAAATGTGACTTTATATGGACTTGAAGTAGACTGGAGATAATGTGATCATGTAACCATTGCCATGGGGGGGCTGTTTCACTACTAGTGGAATAAAGAATTTGGCTAATTTTTCTGTAGCCCTGAGAGAAAACATTTCAAGCAGGTTTTGCTAATGGTGTTTTTTGTTTGTTTTTGTTTTAACCTGTATCTGGAGTTAATGATAGACTGGTGGTGAGTTACAGTTTTCAACGGCATTGGAGAGACTCTCACAATTAGGAGTCTGGGTTCCGTTTAGTTCACCGGTTAGGCAGGAGTATTGGACCCTCCACCACAAACACTTCTATGAAGGTTTTGTTATTGCTGCTTCAGATATTAAGAGACTACTGGAGTTGTAAAATTGGCATGATTTTATTTTTATTGAGAAATCATCCACAGTATAAAAAAAAAAATTTCCTTTGCATTTATTTTGAGCTGTCAGTCCTAAACTACACGTTTTGTTTGGTTTCCCCTACTGTGAGCTGATAACCAACTAAATTACTTTTTCGAGTCTCTGATCCAGACTCCAACCTCAGAATATTCATTTCATCTGAGGATAGGTTTAAGGAGAAAAAAAAAATTGCATTTGTTTGACACTGTATAAAGGTAAAATTACCTTATTTGTGAGGCATTAACTCCAGAGCATGAGAAAAGCTGGAGGTTAACAGAGACACACACTGGTAAGTCTCTTCACAAATACTAGTTTAATCTGATGTCAGCCAGATTTCTCTAGGCAGTTCTGGAGACTGTTACTTGGGGTCTGTATGCTGCTACAGTCACGTACTGTATTGGAAACGCATTGTACTCTATTGACCTTCTGTTGGACATATCGGATGGTGCCCACGTGTGATGGTTATACTGCCCTGACAGTCAAATTGCTGAATTGCCGAGTGGCTTAAGGCTGGGGAATAGAGGGGTGTTTAGTCTCTAATCCCTAAAGGATGCTGGTATTTGCAGCTTGAGAAACAAGATCCTATATAGTCTTAACAGGATGCTAACATGTATTCCAGATACGTCATTTTGGTTTATTTTTAAAATTCTTTAAGTTCTGATATTAATAGAAGTGTGACCACATGTATAGTCATGGTTTTAACTCAACACTTTGTAGATTAAACTTTAAATATTTGTATTGCTTTTGGAAATCCTAAATTATGTTAATGTTTTGGCCTAAGAATGGGGCAGCTAAACAGACTTGTCGAGGTTTACTGCTCGCACTCAATGTAAGTGCAAGAAGCAAATAAATGACTAGCGAAAAGAAGGCCTTGTGGTTTAAGGTGGTCACAGATAAGAATGCATACACATTCTGATGACTTGGGAGTTTTTGTTTGAAAATCTTCATATTCTACACTGCATGGTTTAATAGAAACAACCCACCCCAAAACCTGGTATTTAACCAGGTCTTTTGAGAAATGGTTTTCACTTAGAGAAGGCCCTGCGGTTTCTAGAAAAAAAGTCTACTGCCATCCAAGTGACTGTTTTCTTAACAAAAACAAACAACACACTTCGTTTCACTTTTATTTGAGGCAGCCTGGTCTAATGAATTGATCGTAACGTCAAAAGGCAGGAACTAACTGCAGTTTTTCCTGTGTCACTGATTTACTCTGAGGCACAGGGAGGCGACTTCCCCGTGGTTAGTTTCCTGTATGTAAAAATGAGAGTTAATACATGCCTACCTCACTGAGGGTCTGTGAGGATTATTTTGTAAAAAGTTATTGATTAGAATATTTTTTTTTTCCTGAATACACCTTCAGCCTTATCTTTGGAATCCTTTGGAAAGGATTACTGCAAAAAATCTTATGATCCATAGGATAAAATGAGTGAAGAGGACTGAAATTAAACAGTCTCTGAAAGAAATTATTATCAGCTGGACACGATCTGGGTGACTGAATTTATGGCCACTTTGAAATAGAAGTGAGGTCCTCTGTATTCCCCATTATAGTCTTAAATTCTGTTGGCTTTTTTCATCTTGCACTTGTTTCCTAAAGATTTTAGTGTCAGGATGAAGAAGGGGCTGCAAATGAATGCAGCATGGAAGTGATCAAAATTCATCTGGTAACAGGAGATTATTTAGGTCCACTCCAGTGATAGCGGGATATGGGGAGAGAGTGAAAAAGAAGGGAACAACGAATGGGGGTGAAGAGATATTTTGCTGGTAGAAGTAAATCATGGCACTTCTTTTACTCTAAGCATATATTATTTTACATGCCTTAAAGGCTTATAAAAACACACTTTAAAGCCGGTAGTGACTGAGAGGAGAGCTGATGTCGTGCTAGCATGAAGGAAACTGTATCTGCGTTCGTTAATTAAAATTGTGATTTGGGTTTGGTCAGTGATACTAACATTAAGCTCCATTGGGCTAAATTATAGTGGGGGAGGAACCCACAGAATCGACACCTAGCGTTGAAAAGGGCGCTCTGCATGTTTAGCTTATACTGTGTATTTTATCTTGTCCATCATACATACTAATTTGTGACCTGTTGATAACAGTTGTCTTGAATGGACTTGAATCCTGGCTATATAGAGATGTGATATCCATCGATTTTGGGTGCTGTGCATTTAAGTGGAACACACATGTTGGGGAAATCACAAGAACATGTTCAGGAAGTTACAGTTACTACAAAGTAAAACTTGGAGCACTTCGTGACTCTCTTCTACCACACAGATTATCAAGAAACAGCAGTATAAACTGGTGTACCACAAGCTCTCTGGTACAAATTTTCCACAGAAAAGTACCACTTTGGATACATCATTTCAGGGGGAGGGAGTGGGGTGATTCTCCAGCTGTTTTGTGGCAAGTTTAACATGTGGCAATTTATATTCTTTCTTGTATGTCGCTAAATAAAATGTACCAAACATTTTATAGTTCTGTTTTTATCTGAGCAAAATAAACTGAAATAACTACTCGGTGATGCTGAGTTTTGCACGCTAGTAAGATGATGCATCCATGTGCCTTCGGCTGTCGTCAGACCGCTCCGCTAGTTGTGAAAATAAGGTGAGAGTTTTTCAGAACAGGGGAAGAGCCGCGGTAGCGGCAGCAAAAGGAAATCTGTATTGCTATTTCTGTGAGCTTCACTACTGCCAAGTAATGGATTCAAAAGTGGTGGGAGGAAAGAGGCTACAACAAGAGAAGTAAAACTGGCAGCGGGTGTGGACTGTGATTTCTGAAGTCTGGAAAACACTGGGGCAGTTTAGATGTCGGCTACGGTATGTTTGGAAGAGTAAGAAATGCCTGACTCCTAGGGAAAGTGGGAGTGTTCGCTGTCTCTTAAAAAAACCCAAACCGAGCCTATAAATGACTATGAATATAATCTCTCAGCCACGTGAACCTTGGAATCGGCGCTAGGCTGATCTTTCTTAATCTCACTGATGTGGAAGGTTTGCAGTACTGAAGTTCGTGCACCTGCTCCAGGAGAGGTGTCACAGGACGGCTGGAGCCTCCGGGGGGGGCAGCAGGGGACTAGCCACGCCACTTCCAGGACTCGTGTCCCCTCAGCGTCTCTCACCCGACCCCCCGTGACGGCGGGGCACTGCCTCAGGGAGAC